CCTAAAGCCAGATTCCAAATCTTGTTTGCTGATGAGAAGTCAATGTCACTTGATTCTCTTCACCAAATTGAGTTTGGGATCTAGGATTAGACCTTCCAAATCAAGGGTTCCAGATCGACGGGAAGTCCTCCACTAATTTATCTTATCATTTTTTAGAGAGTCAACTCCCAAACCAGTTAAAGGGTTTGGATGATTGACTCCTAAAAAGTTGTGGGCCATACGTCCTGAGGAATGTCTGCAGATGTCCTGAGGAATGTCTGCAGATTTCCTGAGGACTGTCTGCAGAAAGTCCTCAGGATGTCCCCAAATTTGGGAATCAAAACTTCAAATTTTGGGAGTTCATTAATGAAACCCCTTTTTCTACAACCTCATCACCTTTTCCACATTATTTTCTCAAGATTCCTTTATCATTTATTCCCCAATTTTTTCATTCTTGATTGAATCTTTTTGTCATTTATCTCTTCAAGTTTTTCCACTTTCTTTGGTCAGCTTGTATGTAGTCAGGACCTCCCCAACAGGTGTCTTGGAGCATTGCCAATGGGGTGGGTGTTTTGACCTAGGTCACATAGTGTGACTTGGCTGTGGCTCAGCCAGCCAGGGAACACTGCATCTGTCTCCTCTGGGCCACACCTACTGTAATTCATACCAATTTATACCCAGTCTACGCTCCTACACCCGGCCCTGAAAAAAGGACAAGTTTGAGCCATATGTTTAGATTTGATTTTCACACTTCAAGTATCTAACATGACCAAAAGATGCTATATCAAACACAGAGCACAAAAATACATATGATGTGGCAAAAAATTGCCTCTAACAGTTTAAAATATTTTTTTGGTGCTTCCTACAGGTAATAACAACATATTTTATGGTTCTGTGTTTGATTTTCAATTTTTTATGTATGAGATACTTGTACTGTGAGAATGAAGTCTAAAAATATGACTCAAAGTTGGTGTTTTTTGCAGGGCCACTTAATTTCTCTTGGAGTTCCCAATCTCAGAGCATCACTGGGCATCTTAGCGTAAGTGTAGCGGCCCTGAATGTGGCCAATTTTTGTGTAGTTTTAGCACGCCTCTAACAGTGTTCTTTTCTGTGTAGTGTTAGCACACTGCTACAGCCGCTACACTGCGTTACGCTACACTACAGCACTTTTTGCAGCAAAAAAGACAAAAAACCACTAGCCTAGCGGGCTCTTTTTTGCGCCTTGTGCGTGTAGGGTCAGTGAATTAGCGCAACTGTGTGTATCTGCGCTAACACTACACTAAAATGTAGTGTATTTTTGCTACACTATGCCAGGGGGAATGATAATGGCACGCCACCCCCCCTGGTGCACGCCAATCTGCACGCCAAAGCAGATTGGCGTGCAGACCGGCGAGGCAATCTGATATAAGCTGCCCTGTTGTGCCGCCCCTAGC